AAATAGCATAGAAAAATAGAGCATTCTTTTCTCTATCAGACTATATACAAAGAAAGTCTCTTAAAGCTTTTTATAAGGAATAAAAGTACTACTGCCACTACTTTTGGATTGCCCTAAGTATATAAGTCCGAGGTTTTTGTTCAACTCGTATTTCTATTCTGACAGGATGGGCTATCATCGTTCGAGAAAAGTGATGATGCTGGAGTCGAAGCACCACTGATTCGAAAAATTACTAAACATGAAGCCTCAGCGAACATTCTCCTTTTCAGTGAGTAAAGCAATGTCTGTTACACGTGCTGTCGTTAAATCTTCCTTTTTACATTATAGTGGCTGCCGGTTATGAGACAACAAGCACAGCTCTTAGTTATGTGGCATATGTTCTTGCTACTCATCCAGAAGAACAGCGAAAGTTGCAAGAGCACATCGACATTCATTTCGATCCCGAAACAAAACACATTATGCCAACATATGAAACTGTCTCCGAAATGGATTATTTGGATATGTTTATTCGAGAGACGCTTCGCATGTTTCCTATAGCACCAACGGCGATTTCTCGTCTAAGTACCGAAGATTTTCACATCAAAGACTTCAGTACCGTGCCAGCAGGTACAATGATTACTGTCGACATGTACAATTTGCATTACAATCCAAATTTATGGGGTCCTTTGGATCCACATGAGTTTCATCCTGAAAGATTCGCCACTAAACGACATCCAATGGCATGGATTCCATTTGGAATTGGACCACGTAATTGTATAGGCATGCGTTTTGCTTTGCTTGAAATGAAAATGTTACTCGTTCGATTGCTCAAAACATACACACTAATTGATTGTGGTGAACAAACACGTAAACCATTTGAACAACTCACAGAAATGCCTGTCATTGCACCTAAGGAAGCTATTATCCGACTTCAACACAGAGATGAATATTTTCAGTGATAAATTCTTTCGTAGCGTTTATATTCTATGTTCTTCTTTTCTCTTTACATTCTTGTTTCTAGTTTTTTTTATATTCATGCTGTGAGCAATCGTGCTAGCATAACAGTTGTCTTAATTTTGGGAACAATAGAGAAACATACTGTAACTCTTGTTTCATGCGATCAGAATCAGTCTCGTTTATTAATTTGGCATTATTTTCAGGTTGATTTTATCCGACTGTAAAAGTATGTTTGTATGAGATACTCATACATGATTCGTTGGCTGGATTGACATTTGTTCAATATGAAAGTTTCACATGAAAAATGAAACTTTAGTTTTTGGTTTGAAAATACATCATTTAAATGTAGCTAACAACAAGTAACCGGCTCCACTAAGGGTTTTTCAAACTAACAATCAATCTGAATAACACTGTAACGATAAACTGTCTTCATGATAGACGGCGAAAGAAATGATCGGAACAAGCATATGATTGTGTCAAATTTACAGATCTTATCAAGCGATTAGTATCTGGACTTCCACAATTCATAGAGGTATTTCGCTTATGTTGTTAAAGATTAGAAATCGAAAGATATTGCTATCCAGGAGAATATGATAGCAAAGTCTGGTAATAATGATAAATGGGTGCAGTGGCATAGCCAGGATATTTTAACTAGATAGCAATTCACCAGCTAAATTATTTATAATGGGTAGCAATAGTGGGCAATTATAAAATCTGGTGTGCAATCATTAAAAAAAGTTATGCGCATTACAGAAGTCGTTGTATACTTGAAGAGAAATTAGTTATAGTCATCCTACGTTAACTGATGAATTCGCTGTTTTTCCTCGTGTTTCGTCAATCTATTTTTCAATTTCATATATTCGAATCCTGTGAACTATATTTATATTGTCATCTTATTACTAATGTAGTACGTTTAATGTCTGAAATAAGTTGTCCAAACGTTTTCAAAATACTGTCATTTACACAATCAATTTTATTTAAATTTTCTATATAATTTACTCACGTTTTCAATTCTACATTGCACGAATCATATTGCAACATATGTTGTGAAAACTTTTAATTTAGATTGATTCAGTCGTTTCTGTACTAAACGAATGATGTTGGTGGAAATAGAAAGATTGTTGAACATTTATCCACTTTTATTTGTAGCAAATTTAAATGTATAAGAGATAGAGAGTGTTTTCCCAGTAAATATCAATAAGTTATTATTATTATGGTAATCATTCTTTAACTAGAAGACATTGAAGATCAATTCTTGTAAATCACTTAATTAAATCTCGTCAAGAGCAAATATGTTGACAGAAAATAGTCCTTGAGGGTGTAGGGTGTGGGTGGGGGTGGGTGTGGGGGTGGGGGTGGGTGTGGGTGTGAGTGTG